TATTCGATCCCAGTGTCCCGCCTGAACCTCCTCGCACCACGCGAATACGTGCGCACGCAAAACTTGGCAATCGCGTCGCTTCCTAGAGATAGACACATAATTCCTCGACCTCGCGCCCTTGTAACTAACTAAAAAAAAAAAAAAAAAAAAAAAAAAAAAAACACGTCTGGACATGTGTGCGAGGGAAAAACTCCAGGAAGATAACTGACTGATTACCTTGATAGCTGCCACTAACGCGATGCAACGTCGAAACAAATCGACTAATTGGGAAGCGTCCAAGTTTCATCATTCTGCGCAGCAGAAAGAAGATACACGCGCCTTTAAACTCCCAACAAGATACCACAAACTTCCAATGCCGGTATTGCAACGTCTCAGCGCAGAAAGGCGGGAACTTGCAAGCGTCTTCTTAGACCTGTTCACACGTAGTCACAACCATAACCACAACCCTAAAAAAAAAAAAAAAAAAATATGGTTCCGATATTAGAACGCGTTGGAGCCTGTGCGTAGAATCAAACCCCTCGAGTCTCTGGAGCTTTAGGCACTCGGCATATCCCAGTGAGATAAGCCAGCAACCATAATGAAATATTTTGTTTTGTTACCATTTGTAACTGCAGATAACGCTTACAACGACCACCAAAAGATTTGGGCACTCCAGCTTCTGACCCATATCCATCATGCGCAAATTCTCTCGTACTGACGAGCGTACACGCGATAAGGAATCGGGGTCGATAGAGTGACTACCTTATCGCTCTGCTGCGATCATCGAAGAACTGGATCACGGGACCCTGAATATATCTTCACTGCCACACTGTATAAACAAAATGTGCCTAACAAATTCCGATAAGCCATTCAGTGAACCACAATAAAATTCACTATTCTCTGAGAGAGGACCTTTCTGCGTAAGTACGGGTTCAGGGATCACTTCTGCTGTCCCGCAGCGCTCTCCGCCATCCGCTGCGACATCCGGGACTCTGCAGGCAAGGCTAGCGCCACGCATGCGCAGTAGTGGAACGATACGATGCATATACAAAGGCGGCGATGGAGTATCGAGTATTGTTATCGAAGTCATCGGAACGATCTACTAAAACTCGATCCCTTCTCAGTCGATGGAGTCGACAGAGAAGCGTTGCAGAGTCGACAAAGCATGGCCGCGTAAACGTTCCAGTCAAGAATGAACTTCTGGCATCCGCTTCTACATTTGTTTTCCAAATATGTGCTGCCCTTAACACGCGACTGGGTCGAGGCTAAGTGGATAGGGTTTGACACTCAAAACGTCAGCTACATTGTGTTTGCCCACTGAGCCGCTGCTACCATGAACTCCGCTCTTGTCCACATCAAGGGTTGTCTTCGGTCCAGTGGGTCCAGAAGTTGATACCGCTGATACAAAGAAACCATCTTCTCTCTCTGCTCGGCCAGATGAGGGCCCTTGGCTACACATCCGGCAGTATCTTGCTCAGTGTTGCCAGATTGGGCTAAATTGTCTTCTAGTTGGCGTCGAAGTTTTTTGGTTGCTTGGTATTTTTGGGCTATTTCTAGGGATGTGGCGAACTTTGAGGTTCGACTAGTTAATGTTTGCACTTCTAGTCAGTTAAAAATGTGTTCCTCTTTTGGCTAGTCAAGAGAGGCAGGAAGGAGAAAGGCTACAAACTTGTACAAACTTCAGGGTTTTCACAATGCGCAGAGAAGCAATGCTTCAAGCGGTCTTCCCACAGCTCAGTGGAAAAAACCAAACAAGTTGCACTGTTACCACAAGTCCGGTAGCGCGCCTTCTATCCGAACGTTGACTGGACTCTCCAAGCGCTGCTTTGGTGCCCATTGTGAGAATCCTTAGGCACCCAAGTTCGTAAAAATGAGAAGTCCGCAGCCTTACCGAGTCGTCGCGCACCCGAAGAAAGGACAACACAATCAGAAATAGCGTAAACTGGAATGGGGTACACACGATGACCGTCGGTCAATATTGTACCGGGTGACAGCCCCTTCGACCGGGTTCATACCGCATTATGAAACTTCTCTCGTGATAACAAACAACCTTCGAAAAAATCTTTTTTTTTTCGCCCCGCTCACAGAGCGCTAGCACACTGGGTTCATCTTGGCATCAGGAGGCATGGACGGGTACTCAGGGAGAAGAACCTTTGTTCGGAACTCGGAGAAATCGGGGAAGGTAAGCCGACGATGAACGAAAAGAGGGGCAGGGTTCAGACGATTCAAAACAACCTGAAGGAAAGAAGGTCCGTCAGCGAAGGGGAAATGCGGGGGCCGACGCTTTCCAAGGGCACCGGCGGTTTTTGCCGGAAAGCTGAGCTGGTTGAGGGCGTCCTACGGCTGCGCTGACCGCGACGGGGAGGGACGGAGGCACAAGGACGTTTGGACGACACAAATACAGCGGGGGATGGAGGGGGCGAAAGAGGGAGAAGAAAGGAATATATCACAATGGAACCTGCGTCGTTTCCGCGCGAAGAAGTTCGCGACAGGTTCCAGAGGACGGTGGTACATGGGCCGTTCAGCCTCCATGGCGTTTGCCATAGTCTCTACGAACGTAGTAGTATCGCTGGGACGATAAGCTTGAGCGGGAGGCGACTACTGTTGGTGTAGGGTAACTAAAACCAAAGAGAATTTGAGATTTAAAGATGAGACATCAAGCGACAGAGTCCTTGTCCTCGTGAGTCACTCTGGCGAAGAAAAGACAAGGAGCCTCACAAACCCACCCGCCTAGCCTCTTTCAGGGAGCCGGTTCAAGATAGTTTTAGTAGATCGTTTTGACGACTCCGATGATGATACCCGACAGTCCGCCGACGTCTTTGCGCACGCATCTTATCGTTATCTGAACGTTCTATCGTCTTTTATTGCCCACTGACTATCTCCACATGTCCACTCTTCGCGAGCTGTCGATGAGTGCATGCAAAAAAAACTTTCAGAAAATCCTGCGAGAGCGCTGGGAACAACGCCCGCGAAACTGAATCGTGTGCGCCGAGAAGTTTCATGTAGGTAAACACATAAAGTGCTTTGCTAGCGCAGTGCGCCGCTCGGGCCCTTCCAGGCAGATGATGCAAAACAAAGGAGGCCAAAACGAAGCACGTGATGCCCCTAGTGTACCCACGGAAAAAATATAAAAAGAAACCGCTACGCAAACAATGGGGTGGGGGAAGGCCAGCCAGAATGAGCGAACAAAGGAAATTCGAGATGTGAATGGACATTCTAAAACACGTGATATCTGAACTGCTTGCACCCCAGCGACCCCGTTTATGAATCCACCTATCAAAGAACACGAGCTATGTTATAATGCAAACTTAAAAGAATGAGAATGCATTCACTAATCTGTGCAGGTGTGCACGGTAGTGACTCCTAAACCTCCCTTCTTGGACTAAATCGTTCCGACTTACTCAAACGGCACACAATCTTAACGTCATATAATTAAAACAAACAAAAAATGAACCAGCTTGAGTGACTGAACAAGTGTCACGGCAACCTTGTGAAAGCGAAATTCGGATTCGAGTTTGATGCCAGAACTGCCTCGAACCGATGCAAAGCCATCGATCGCGTGCAGTGTGCTCCGATAGCCGCAAACTTCTGAACCGCGAAACTAAGAAAAGAAAACACGCAACCGTCGTCCACCCCTAACAAAAAGAAAAAAAAAATGATTACAATGCGTTGAGAGAAAACAGCGCGCGCACGCACGATTATCCTTTCACTTTCCCCGCAGTCGGGAAATCACGGCGCAGCTAGGTCGCTGGGGCACGATACGGGTCAGAGAGCATCCCACAACACCACGCCTAAAACACACGAACCTCCAAGCTTCCCGGGAAGGCTAGGAAATTCAAAACCTATCCGGAATGCACAAGGGAATCCCCGTAATCATGAACGCCTCCCCCCCCCCCCCCCCCCCCACACACACACACACACACACACGCAGATGAAAAAACCTCGACGAACAATTACAATATGGAATTGTTTTTTTTTTAAAGGGAAGGGGGAGTGAAAAAAAAAAAAAAAAACAATCTGACAGTTACTAAACGGACTCCGCGAGTGCGGTTCAGTCTAATGACACGGTACATCCTCACCTTCTTGACGGGGCCGTCCATGATTATCAGCGGGAATTAGACGGTGGCACATGAACTTGCGCGAAGCCAGCGCGCATCACCGACACACACCACTCGGTGGTTTGGGCGAACTCCAAGTGCGGGGGGACGACCCGCACCAACAGAGAGCGAACTTGATATGTGTACAGCCTCGAGCGTTGGTCTGCGCTCCCGCTACTACGCGCGCAGCTGGAGGAAGCAGTGGACGCGGCCCGAACTTCCGCGTACAGAACGTGCAGTCGCAGCACTCCGCCGCGACAGGTGCTGCCATCTGGGTGCGAGCGAGCGAATTTCGGAGTACCTGTCCGACTTGCACCCTTTTCTGTACTCTTCCTCGCTCCCCACCTACGTGCCTACCTACCACTCTCTGTCTCTCTGTCTCTCTCTCTCCCCCCCCCCCCCCCCCCCCGCCATCCTCCTCCCGCAAAAAAAAAAAAAAAAAAAAAATTAAAAAATATTGAAGGGTGGAAAGGTCGGGCTTTCGCTTAGGGCACCCCTCCCTCAGTTTCATCTTTCGGCCGTACCAGAGTCACGTGACCATCGGGGGGGCACAGCGACGCGAGGGGTGCGTTGTAACGTGACGCGTGATCAGCGTTGGATTAGCTGGGATGGCTCGTCCCGTCCCCAGCCAATGCACTTTCTTCTTTTTAGTGAGCTACTTTATATCGCGTACGCGGAGTTCTGATAGGGCAGCAAATACCGACACTCGCGAGGAAGTTAATTTTTTTTTTTCATATATTAATACGCGCGACAAAGCCTTATTGTAATGATTCCTTATTTCAGGCTATGCAAGCTGACGTTTAGGATAAACAAATTAGTCTACCGTCATTCACTTGATCTATCCCGTCTAATCGCGTATTAAAGCATGTACCCGAAAAAAGTCGAAGGGTTCGGTATCCTTTCCACGCAAATCAAACAACTCACCTCTTCCCTGTTCCGGTGGTTCCGAAATCGGAGTGTCTCCCGCTGCCGAAGCTGCAAAACAAGGCAATCAAATTACAACCCAAACTCCGGCTGCATCGTCCTACATGATGCGATACATGGCACGCACCCAAAAGAAAGTAAAAGAGAAATGGCAGGAAACAAAATACCGCTGTAGCATAGTCAATAGAGAGGTCTAGTAAATAGTTCCAATGACTCCGATAACGATACGCGCGATACTTCGCGCCGCCTTTGCGCAAGCAACATGTCGTTATCGGGAATCGTTAACAGAGGTATCGGAAAGATCTACTAACACTCTCTAATAGGGCGTTTAAGCAGATCGTTCCGCTACCTCCAATTATGATACCGATAACCATATGATGCATTGGCAAAACCGTCAGCGAAGTATCAGGCATCCGCGTTGTCGAAACAATCAACTGAAACTCCTCAAGGCCAAGAACTGGCGCCGGGCAACACCACCTAGACAGAAGGCCTCCACACGCGTCATCATAGTCAGATCGATCGAGGCGAGAGATTGGGCACGAGTGCTGCGTCAGTGTTCGGGTGCGGCTCGTGGCCAATCAGCGCGTCGAAGGTCGGACTCGGGTCGAATAGCCGACCGAGCGCGATCCGACTGGGATGACGTTTCATAGAGGAAGAAGAAACCATGCGGAGGCCTTCTGTCTAGGTGGTGTTGCGCCGGGAGACTCTTTGTCACGTGCTCCAGGACGAAATGAAACAAAACAAATAGAGAAAGAAGCGTCCCATCCTATATATCACCCTGCGTGCGTATCAAGGAACCCTAGCGAAGGCAGGCCGTATCGAGAGATATCCGATTTCATACATGCATGATAGCCAATTTCCAGGACGCTGCAGATGGTGCAATGTTGAATCGCTTGCCCATGACTGCGATGGAATGTTTCCTAGGCTCAGACCGCGCCGTGTGCGCTGTGAGAGCACATGTGTGCGAGACACCTGCGCGACTCTCCACGACTGTCTGTTTTCCCGACATTCCAACACGATCGGTCGGCCTCACTCCACTCAGTTTGAACTTCCATGAGTCAGTCGCTGTCGAGAGGAAACAGATTCTAGGAAAGCACCCGTTCGCCGAATGGGTCACCTCTGTAGACGCAGGTTCCTGTACGGTGAGAAACTGAGGGAGAGGGGGAGATGAGAGCCCGCGGGAAAGCTTTGACTTGAATGATTAGTGGGTATATGCAAAATCTAGCTGCCTTCGTCTCCATCCGCTCTCTCCCTCCAATCAAAGCGAACAAGAGCGCTGTCTGCTCTTCGCACATCAGACGCCGGCGTTCGAACGCGTTCGAAAGGCGTTCGAAAGCGTTCGAACAGAGCTCGGCGCTTTCACGTATACCCAGCTCATCCTCTCCCTTCGTTTATCATTGTATATAGACCTTTTTTCGCAAGGGCGCCGCAATCTTGAATTGTCGTCACTTCCTCCAGTATGGGCGAAAACATTGTTCTGCCGTCGCCACGCCGATAGAATGCATTTAGGATATAAGCGTAACCGTCGCCCATTCTCGTTTTGCCTCCCCTCTATTTTTTTTTTTTTTTTTACTATTTGCAGGTTGGAACGTTTTATTATTTCTTCGTTGCCCATACCGGATCCAGGCGCGTAGCCAGGGGGGGAGGGGGGGGGGGAGGGGCATGGGGGCCTTCTCTCCCCCCTCCCCAGATCTAGCGGAAAAATTTCCCCACTAAACTTAGCGGAAAAACTTTCCCGGCTAGATTTAGCGCACAAATTTCCACGCTAAATCTGGCGGAAAAATTTCCCCGCTAAATCTAGCGCAAAAATTTTCCCGCTAAATCTAGCGGAAGAATTTCCCCGTTATATCTAGCAGAAAAATTTCCCCGCTAAATCTAGCGGAGAAATTTCCCCGCTAGATTTATTGAAAAAATTTCCCCGCTAAACCTAGCGGAACAATAGGGAGTTTTAGTAGACCATGTTTCCTCTCCGCTAAGCCCCTCCGCTACCCGGAACTCTACAGCCAAGGCCATCGGCGCGCAGGCGCAGTGGCGGTTTCTTCTTAGCAGAGGGTTAGCGGAGGGGGAAACACCGGTCTACTAAAACTCCCTAATGTCTTCGCTAAATCTAGCGGAAAAATTTCTTTGGGGGTCACGTGATCCCCCCAGGTCACGTGACACCCCCACGTGACCCCGGGGAGGGGCCGCGTGACCCCCCCCCCCCCCCCCCCCGAGAACACGTGACCCTCAGTACCCTTCCCTCCTCCTCCACAAGAGCTGCGGTCTAATTCGGCGTTACAGAGAGTTGTAAACGGCTTTCGTTTTCCAGAAATTTGCAATAACGTGGCCGAGCATGAGGAAGCATAACCGAAACGCAACTTAAAAATGCCCGATTTTGCTTGCCCGGCACGCTGCTCAAAGAGGGCTACAGGCCTATACTTTCGATAAGACTTGGGCGTCTCGCGGGCTTCAAGAGTACATGCGAAGCCAAAGCAAGACGGAAGGGAACGAGAGCGTGCTGGAGAACGGGCATCTGAAATAGACCCGTTCTCGGATGGATGGAGGATAACCGCTGTGCCCGTTGTAACGGGCGGTAGTTTGCGACACCTAGCCTAAAAACGAGAACTAAAACCTTTGCCGACAGGAAAAGGCAGGGGGTAAAATTGTGAACTACCCAATCCCAATTCACTTTCGCTTGATTTCAATGCTGCTTTGGTTTCGCGTATGCGACCGAACCTGGGAAAGCGCCTGAGCACCGCCAATCAGAATGGCTTGGAATATGAGGTGGGCCGAGTGAAGACTTTTCAACAAGTTGGCGCAGGTTAGTCACCCTATATTCGAGGAACTAAATCGAATGAGAGTCTCCTTCCATGGGAAGTGCGATAGTAATTAAAAATATCCTTTACAGCATGCAAATCACGAGAAAGACTATTCCCCGTAAGTGCAGTCTCAACTTGAAATGTTAGATGAGCTTCGAAGACTTTATTTTAATATCCCCAATTATACTTAGTGTTGCTTCTTGACTTTTTCTTTTATTTTTGCTGAGGCTGTTCGATTTTACAACATGAACAACGTCGCTCCTATAATCAGGCGGTTCCTTGCATCATTGAGAATTCTTTATGTACCTCCTCGTGTCTTCTTTCTATTAATAACTTGCTCAAACAAAGCATACGCTCATGGGCTTTCCGTTTTTGGAGACCCGTGTAAGCAGCGCTCCATGACGCAGCAAAGTGTGCACGGTATTCAGGGAAGTGTAACAGAGGGAGAATCTCAGGGACCTGGGGCAATTGTTTCATAACCGACTTGTAAAATGCGTGTTTCCCCGAATCACAAGCCGTCGTTCCGAGGTTTCTCTGAAACACCTTTGTTGATAAAATTTTAAGGGGGAACGTAGACAAAAGCCTCACCGACGGACCGTCGACTGTGGACCCTGACCTAGATACAAAATATCGGTGTCTGCCGACAACTGACAGACAGGTTAATCGTCGAAGGATTGAAAGTATACGGCTTTCAATCCTTCGACCTTCGCAATTTTTTATTTTTTTTATTTTAATAAACAGCTTTCAATCTGTGGTGCGTCAGTGACTCACAGGACAGTCTTTCTCTTTCTCTCTTTCATACACACACACACACACAGACAAACAAAAGCGTACACTAACACAGAACAATTACTAACTACTCCGTGGAGCTCCCACAGGGTGACGTCAAAATTATACAACTGTGCGCATCACTCTGACGTAATCTAGTTCGTGCGTGTGCCTCCATGTGTTTCGCATGTAGCAGTAAGTAACACATGAATGACGTCTGCGCAGCTGACATTGCAAAACGGCGCGCGTCAACTGGAAACTAATGCGACACCCAGGAGTGAAAATGGCATTTTCTCGGGAACGGGCATTTCGTGTGAAATGCGGTACCTGTGTGGTCACTGGCCTGAAGGGTAGACTTCGTCGACTGACCTACCGAACGATTTGGGTGTTCCATAACGACGCCTATTTTTGAAAGTCCCAAATGACAGCTTTCCGTACGTGTTACCCTTTCATATTTGCGACTCGAATGGTACGCCATTCAATCTCCGTTTCTCCGATTCACATTTTCGCCGCTAGGCCTCGGAAGTTTCCGCTGCACATTTCAACAGGCGAAAGCACCCCGCCCCTAAAGGCAGTCACACCTTAGACGCTGGGTGGCGTCGCGCCCTGTAGAGGCTAGATATGAGGGAGAGAGAGAGAGAGAGAGAGAGAGAGAGACAGACAACTCAAACTGAAGAGAGCGTCTGCAATCTTATGGCGGACGCCTTCTGCGAAGGCTGGGTGCATACGCGCATGCCTGCGTCGTCGAATTGTGAGGATGATAGCGGGCGGAAAGGTGGAGCAAAGATTGGCGTCGCTTGCAGACGATCGACGCGTACGTCTGCTCTTCGCACCTTGTATTGTCAAAGTGGCCTAAACCACGGGACGCTGATGGAGCAATTGAAAACCCACTCAAATCCAGGCACGCTATATACACTCCGCTCACCCCTAAGCTGACACTGCGATGCGAGCTACGCTGTCGCCGGACCAATCAACCGCCTTCCTTTCATCACCTAACCCAACCTTCCGCGCCAGGATGTGGACGACACCGTTAGCAGGTGGCGAGAAATCGACGTATGACGGGCCCAACGCGATCGTAGCTTCCACCGCAGTCTCAGCTTAGGGGCGACCGGAGTATTCGGAGCGCAAGTTCGTCTGCTTCTTGAGCAGGTCTTGCGGTGACGTCAGAACGCCGAGCTCTCATTGGCTCCGAAGGAAGGACAGTGGTTAAACTCCGGTGCTGACTGGCTCGAGGTCTACCCACTACCCTTCCAATCGGAGCCCATCAGGGTTCGGCGTTATGACGTCACTGCTCTAGAAGCAGACGAACTGGAGCTCCGCATAGTCACTGACAGCCTAAGCCACGCAGGGGGTGGCCGGTTAGAATCATGCTTCTCGCCTCGTGATTGGTTGCTCGGCGTTCTTATCGGCGAATGCCGCAAGCTGATAGGCTGAGGAGCGATAATGAGATGCGCGGGACTCGCCACGCCCAGCCTTTCTTAAGGTGTCAGTGATTATAGAGGTGCGAGCAACTGGTAACTGACCCTGTGCAGAGCTTGTTCGCTGGTCATCTGGCCCTCCCGGACAGCGAGGACCAGCTGAAGACGGCAGTCGTCGTTCAGCACTTCCTCTTCAGCAGCTGGCTGTGCGAAGGAGCCCAGTCCTGCGGCCGGGGACAGCGGTGCTGCGCAGATTCGGAGCAAAATGCACATACGTTAGGGAAGCAAAGCCAATGTCGACCCGTCGTCCGTATTCTACAGCAGTCTGTTTAGAAAACCGTGGGAAGAACCGCGGTGTGCTTCTATGTATATTTTTAGAGCGCAGCTCTTAGGCGCCCGTTTCCGCGCATAGCGTTGTCGTCGTCGCCGTTGGCGTAACCGAGCGCGTTGCATTATGGGACGTCACAGACCTATACACTAATTCAATATTCCGCTAAATTTAGCGAATGAAGTGATTGGTGTGTAGGTCTGTGATGTCACATAATGCAACACTGTGCATTAGTTTTCCCCACTACATTTAGCGGGGAAACTGAATTGGTGTTGACGGAAACTGAATTGGTGTTGACGTCATGTGACGTCACTTTTCCAGCAAAATTTAGCGAAAAACTGAATTGGTGTTGAGTTCATGTGGCGTCAATTTTCCAGCTAAATTTAGCGGGGAAACTGTCTGGCCACGGCTTCACGAGATGTGGCTTCACGAAATCCGGAGTAACTAGCCAAAAACGTTTCACGTTGAAACAAACACCGCAGCGTTATGGGGCTGCCACCGTACCTCCTCGTCCTCCCTCGCCTACCCTCAAACATCGCGATTTTTTTCAGGGAGCCGGGAGTCCATGCGCGCCGAGGCCCATGGGCTCCCGGCCACCAGGTGTGGCTAACTGCCAGACTTGTGCTCGTTACTTGAAAATTGTAATGGGTGAGTTAGAGATTACCGAACCTCAAATGTAATAAATTACCGTTGCATATTACTTTCGTTGAAAAGTAATGGATTACTTTACTCGTTACGTTACAAATTACTTTCACGTTACTTTTCTTGTGCACTTATCCAAGAAACAAGAGAATCAATTTTGATATTTTTCAAAAATGTTCTACTCATTTCGTATACGGCCGTATTATGGTAGTCCTCGTAAAAATAAAATATCGCATTTAAGAGAAAGCGTGTAGGTGCACTCTGTTCACCTGTAAGCCGACAAGGCACCGAAAGCTGCAACCAAACCCGCCATCTAGCGGTGCGTATGCTCAGTAGCAGCGTCTACCTCCACTACGAGATTCGGAGCTAAAGATGCGATCTACAAAAGCTCCCTTTTGACTCGGGTGTTTCGCCTGTTATTCACAACAGGGTTGGGCAGTATCGCGATACAAATGCATCGCGATAGTATTTTAGAAATACATTTCGTATCTGTATTTCTGTATCGCAATACATTTTTTCACCAGTATCTATATATACCTGTATAAAAATACATTTGGAATGTTGCTTTGTATCGCGATACAATCAGGATGAAATGCATTTCTTTACATTTCCTGAAAAATACTCCCCCCCCCCCCCCCCCCAACCAAAAAAAAAAAAATCCGAACCTTTTTTTTTTTTTTTTTTTGAGTGCACCAGGGTAAAGGAGATGCTGGTGCATTGTTACTATGCTGACCAGTCGGATAACCTTCTGCCACAGGTCTCTGGTAGGGTCATTGTTTGCTGGCATCCAGTGCCCGCTGCTAACCGTCTCTCTTGCCTTAGTGTAAACAGTACACCCAGCCGGCAAACCTGAGTCACAGTCCGCTGCAGCACGAGCCTGGCGGTGGTTGTCTTGAAATAGTAGGACGACTCACGCAGGTAAGTTCAACACATTTCCAAATGCGTCTGCGCCACGCCCATAATATTGCACGGCTCAAGGGCGCGTAATCAGTCGACGTGAACGTGACCCGCTGCTCTGGTAATCTGATACCGGGGAAGGAGGCCGGACGTGGCCTAGCTGTGCCGACCCAGACTTCGTACACCTGCGACTCGTCTCGAGTGCGCGCTGTTTCGCGGGGGGCTCGCACCTATGCGCCTGTGCCGGCAATCTCAGGTAGCAATCCACGAGGGTCTGTGTTTGGATGACGCTAGGCGAAACTTGAGGACTGCCACCCATGCGTCATAGCGTCATAGCGTCGGCGGAAAAGACCGTCACAACAGCAATACCACCGTGTCAATAGGGAGTTTTCGTAGACCGCGTTTCCTCCACTGCTAAGCCCTCAGCAACGAAGCCGCTACTACGCCTGCTCGCTGATGGCCTTGACTGTTGAGCTCCGGGTATAGCGGGTTGCGGGACGGCGAAAACGCTCTGAGAAAGCTCCCTGTTTTTGCAACCGTAACAAAAGATAAGACGTGTTCCAGAATGCTTCAGGTGGTCCACTATTCTCGAAAATTCCAAATGCAACTACTGCCTGCACGATCTCCAACGAGGTCACCTACAACGAAAGTACGTATTCTTTCATACAGCAGCGTGGGTTAAGTTTCATGTTTAAGGTCACACCTACAGATGCAGGAATACCAGTTAATTCCACCATGGCATCATGTGATCACTGTTAACAGGGGCGCCTTTTTTGGACAGGAGCGTGGTGACGCTTTGGTGGGGTTTATGTGACTTGGGATTTATCATAGCCTCCTCTATAGAGGAGGCTATGGATTTATTTAGAAGTCGAAGTCTTTTCGCATTACTCGTCACACAGCCAGGATGTCAGGGAAGGGACCGCGGTCAATCCTTGATGAAACGTTTTGTGAGCCCATTGAAGACTACTGATCGTCAGGAACCACAACCTTGAAGGCAGTGGCGTTGGCAGGGGGGGGTCGAAGCTTGGACATATTGAAATGCGCAGCCCCTCTTGTGAAAAGAGCGGCTGCGCATAAAACAAGGTTTTTGCTCTTTTCTACAGCACTCTCGGCATTGGTGTTGTTCTTGGAGCTTCGTTACTATGCCTTTCCGACGTTCTTGCACTACAATATGTGCGAAGGTTTCTAAATAAAAACGGAGTCTTTACCCCCCTCCCTTTACCGTGGCGGCGGCGCCCATGGAACAGAGCAGACACTGGTCTATTGCTATCCTTGTGTTTTGTCTGCCCTTCACGCGTTGGTAATGCAGTGCTAGCTCAGAAAGCGGGGTGAGCTGTGTGCTGTTAAGAAGCGTTTAAAATTGGTGGGATGCAATTACAACAGTAGAACAGTGAGCCACCACGCCCATATTCCCGTAAATGAAGCCTGCTCCGTTTTCAAAAATGATCAAATGACAATGCATGCAGCTTTACCCGTTTTATCTTGACAGCGCCTCGCTAATCTTTGCGTGAGCGGTGAGCTTCCGTACCGCCGAGCTCACCCTGCTTCGTCATTTGGGGGGGTGGGGGGAATTCATGCTACTGGTCCCCCCCTCCCGCTCCCCTCCCCTCCCCTCCCTCCCTCCCTCCCTCTCTTCCTCCCCCCCCCCTCCTCCCCCCGAAATAAACTCCTGGAGGGCTATGTTTGACAAATGTTTCGTTTCTCCTCAAAAGAAACGGAAGGGACGGAAGTGACGATATCGCGTCTGAATGGCTAGAGGCTCAAATAACGAAAGTTCCCTTTCGTCATTTGAGCCTCTAACCAATCAGACGCGACATCGTCACTTCCGTTTCTTTTTAGGAGAAACGAAACATTTGTCGAACATAGCCCCCCTGGCTACGCCACTGCTTAAAGGCGAAGTGCCAAGCCCGCAGAAAAGTAATTTCGGGATCAAAACTTCCACTTCCAAGCTTCAGTTGGCCTTTCAAACAAATCTAAAAAACTGTATTGCAGTATTGTATTTCTGCCTTCCCTGAATTGTATTCCTGTATTTGGATTTCCGAAGACTTTTAGCCTCTTTTTAAAATGTATTTCCGATACGTATCGTGATAAATTATTACGGATATATTTGAGTATCAGTATTTTAGCTCATATTTTCATGTATCCCAGTATTTGTATTTCCACATACATTTCTGAGTATTTCTGCCCAAGCCTGATTCACAAGAACAAAAACTTGGTTCTAACGTTACAATGTATAGCCAATGCAGAATGCAGGTGTCCCAGCTGACTTTGATTTGTTTCCTTAGGTTAGTTTGTTGTTCTTGCTGATGACAAAGTGTGTTTTTTTGGCAATCAAAGTTTGCACTAAAATTCTAGGTTCACGTTCTCCTTAAACTACAGCTAAATTTCCACGCTTATTTTTTGGTCTATATCTGTTCAAAGGAGCAGTATCATATCGGACACACCGATATCCTGTTAACAAAGACACGAAAAGGAATTTTAAAACGAATTAAACGATTAGCAAGGACCACCTGGTGGATGTCGCTAACGTCTCGTTTGTAATGACCGTCTAGGAACCTTGGCAGATAGTGACGACTAGGAAGCCTTTATGTGAACACACCCTAGTGACGACGTTTGTCTCGCCTCTGGCCACCACGAGAGAAGAGGTGGAATGGGATGGATCACGTGACCGATCGCTCACAGAGGCCGACCGCTCGACGACCGTTAGCGCGTAGCGCTCGGCATTTGCCAGGGGAAGGGGCTATTACTTGATATTTTTTCTTTGGTATATTTGTACATGCCTTGCCCGTTTTAGAGCGCAGCTCTTAGGCGCCCGTTTCCGGCTTGAGCGGCGTTGGCGTCGCCGGCGCCGCTCAAGCCGGAAACGGGCGGTGCATTATGGGTACATTTCCCCGCCAAATCTAGCGGGAAAATTTCCCACTAAATCTAGCGGAATAATCTCCCCGCTAAATTTAGCGGAAAAATTTCCCCGCTAGATCTAGCGGAAAAATTTCCTCGCTAAATCTAGCGGAAAAGTTTCCCCGCTAAATCTGGAGGAAAAAATTTCCCCGCTAGATTTAGCGGAAAAATTTCCCCACTAAATCTAGCGGAAAAATTTCCCCGCTAAATCTAGTGGAAAATTTTCTCTAAAGGTCACGTGACCCCCGAGGTCACGTGACCTCGGGGAGGGGGTCACTCGTGGGGGGTCACGTGACCCCCCCCCCCCCCCCAGTACCCTTTCCTACTCCTCCTCAAAAGCTGCGCGGTGTTACAGGGAGTTGTAAACGGCTTCCACTTTTTTTCTAGTGGTTCTAGTGACCGGTCTTATAAAAAAACCGTGTTTTCTTTTCGGCTATTTTCCCCCTTCCTGATGTTTTCTATTTTGTTGAACTTGCTCTC